CGTGGGGCGCGGGGGGTGCGTGGGCGCGCTGCGTGTCCGCCAAAACGGCCTCGGCTTTTCCCGTGGGAAAGCTCCTTTATCCCCGAAGTTCAGCTAGGCGGGCGCGTCTTTTAAAAAGCAGAGGCACACATAGGCAAAGTCGAACGTACTAAAAATTCCTAAATCGTGAGTGAGGGGGGAGCGGTCCGTACGGACCGACGTGTAGTCTTTGTGCTGCTGCATGCCTCGAATTGTTGGAGTTGTTGTTCGTTGCCTAACTAAATTAAATCCGATCGCAGAAAGGTACGTTTTACTTTCACGTAAGAGGAGCATAAAGTGTAAAAAGACCAATGAACAATGGTATAGAAAAACAGCACAGCAACCGATTTCCAAAAAGGTGTGACTTGAGTTGGTTTATTTTACACAGCAAATTACTTTTTTTGCCAGACAGAAGTCTTACATGCCTCAGATACATATGTAGTACTAATAGTTACAATGACTGCAAAATTACAAGGCCGATAGCCTATCCTGGTTTTAGTATGTGATTTTTGCACATCGTCACACGCAGGGGTTCACTATAGCGATGGGAGCCTGTTGTCTGCCACAGAACATAAGAGCAGCTAGAAGAAACCTCTGATGCCAAACTACTGCTACACAGTCAGATTGCCCTTGATAAAATATGACACATCATAAGAAACAGCAGTTTACAAAAATGTGAAGTAAATGTAAATCGGTTTATACAGAGCAATTGCCGTGATACATTTTAAAAGATAAAATGTGAACCTTCTTTAACTTGCAACTAGCAAATTAATTTAAACATGAGAGAATAAAACCACGTAGAGATACATGACTGCACTTCATATTTAGTTTGAAGTTCTCGAGGGTGTATTTACTTTCTTTAGAGAAGGCCTAGGAACTGTTTCATACTGCATTTCCATGCACATTTTAAGTCTTGATTGGAAGGTATGTACTTCACAGGAACTGTTTTCACTTTGCATGGGTGGAGGCTGGTAATTCCATCCATCGTGTGTGTAAAATATAGTTGTTATGAAAAGCTTCATGGTTGTCACTTGAGCTGTGATTGCCTTACATTATGCACTGTTCACTGGAATAAATTGTGTGCAGTGACAACACATATCTAGAAAATATGCAATAGAGAAGGATCTGTTATGTCGATTACTCCATCACTGAGCATGGATTATACCTGAAAGTGATTTTTGTTTTATCCAGACTACTTGAAAATGCCTTACCGATTACAGTAGGTAGATGCGCATTTTGACACAAACTAGAATGTGAGCTGCAGTGAAGTGCTGCATGTCCTCAGCTAACTGTACTTCACATGGTTTCCTTCTCCAACAGATTGGGAAACAGAATGCCATTTGATGGAGCCAGTGAACCTGACCATGCCCATGGGTCATTAAAGTCTGAATCAGACACCTTGCAGAACACATTACCTGAAAATGAGAAATTCTATTTTGACCTGTCCAGAATTATTGATAGGTGAGTTTCTTTATTATCATAAGTACAAATGATGATGCACTACTTGAATTATGCCAGAAGATCGGTCACATTTTCAAACTGAGAAATAGGAAAGGAAGAACCAGTTACAGAAAAAACCACATGGCCTCTGGTTGAATACTGGTAGCAGTAGAAATGTCTGCAGAAGTGTTGATTGCATTGCCATTCTGGCATGACAAATTCATTCACTTCCCAAGAAGGGCTAAAAAGTGTATTGTGAAAATCTGGAAGTTGTTTTATGAAATTAGCTTAATTTAATATGTACAATAGATAACTTAAGGAAAGCAGTATGTTTACAAAATGAACGTTATCAAAATGATATGAACCCAGGTTGTATTGTAGAGTTTATTTATTGTCCATTTCAGAAATGCAAGGCATGCTGATGGAATTTTCACCAGTGTCTGCAGCCATCTTTTGGCTAAACTTGCTGTGAAGACATATCTGCATTCGCTTATTAGAAAACGAGTTAGGTGAGGTGACACTTACATTAGGTAGAGTTTTTTCCTAGCTGACTTCATTGGCAATTTTTTACCCTTCTGTACCTAAGTTCTTATTTTTGCAATTTAGAGATAATGAAAGAGAAACTGATATGATGATGGGGGAGCTGAACAACCTCTATAACAATTTATTGGTATTTGTTACTAAATTAATATGTTACTATTTATTCCTGATACAGCTGTGAGGGGTAGAGCAACAGACACTGCACACAGCACTGATAATAAATACTGGCAATATTGTAACGATTATCACGCCAATTTGCTTTTTTTTTTTTTTTCTGGTAGTGTTTTTACTAGCTTGGAGGATGAATGGCAAAAGTAAATGCAAAATGATTGATCACTCAGTACTTACGTAACAACAGGGGAATGCTCAATGAAATTAAGAAACAGTTGGTTTACAGTGAAAACAAAAAGGAATGATGTTTTTCCTACTGTAGAACATATTGCCGTATGTTTGGGACATCTGTATGATAGAGGAATTCAAAAAAGAATTAGCCAAATCCATAGACAAGGGCTCTGGATGCAGCTTCCAGAGCAGGACGTTCATAAAGTAATGGTTGCAGGATGCTGGGAAGGATCACTGCATACTTCCCCTGTTTTCGTATCCCTAGGCAGCAGCTATTGGGCACTCTTGGGAATGGAATAGTAGAATACTTTGGTCTGACCCAATATGGCAGTTCCTTTGAGTGCCTACTTTGTATGCTCAAAAGCTGAGTGAAAATTAGGTCCTGCATTTATGTCAATGCTGCCTTTATTCCAGAACATATAGTGCCAGTTTCTCATATGCCATAAACTAACATAGATTATTTAAAGCAGAACACACTGAGGCTTCCCAAGATTGTGCATGAAAAATAGGCCTCCAAGTTTGGATTTCACAAGGTGTGTTTTGTCTCCTGATACCTCCTTAAAACAACCATTTGTAGCTATGTGATGCTACATGTGACGTATGTGATGCTACACTCTTACTTTCCTCAGAGGCAGGCTCCGTCTTCACTGAGTTCAATATGAACAGTGACCAGGTCCTTTAAGAGCTCACTGTGGCTTAAACCAGTCTGCACCTTGGCATTGTGCTAAAACACATTGACGCAAATGATAGGAATCAGAATAAAGTCAGTTTATTAAAAAGAGTAACCTGGGCTATGAGAACAGACAGGAGGGAGTTGTGAAATCCACACTCAGCCATTTGATCCTGCAGAATCCCTGGACAGGGACTCCAGAAACCATTACATATGGATGCTAATTGCATGGGCTGTAGCAAAGTTGAGCAGGAGAAAGAAATCAGTGGAAGGTGTGCCCAAAAAGACTGAATACCAATCCTTAGAATTTGATCCTTACTGTTAAAATACATAGTAAGCAATGGAAGCAGTGGCTTCTCTTCATAGAATCATAGAATCATTTAGGTTGGAAAAGACCTCTAAGATCATCCAGTCCTACCATTTCAACAGAAGAAAGATCCAAAGTCATAGTTGGAAATGAAAGCCGAAATGAAAATTTTATTTTATTTAGCTAATCAACATTGTAAAATTTGTTTCACTCATTTAATGGTATCTTCTTTCAAATGGATATTGTCTATTAATTTTTCTTTGTAATTGTTGCAGTGCCAGCTCCCAGGACAGTCCTGTCAAACGTCACTCTGACGCTGTCTTCACTGACAACTACAGCCGTTTTCGAAAGCAAATGGCTGTGAAGAAATACTTAAACTCAGTTTTAACTGGAAAAAGAAGGTACTACAAGAAAGCAAATATGTATTGTTTCCATACTTGTATGGTATTAAGACAGAAAAGATTTATACCCACATATGTATACAGAGAGGACAAACAAAAGGCAATGAACATTAATGACTTTATAATGTAGTTTATAACATGGTTTTCAAATACAAGCAGCATTTTCTTCCAGACTGGAACAGACACTACAATTAGATTAGAATAAAAGAATAAAGAGGAGACAGCATCTGGAAATTTTAAAAAGTTTCTGACAGATTCTTAAAAATCTTTTCTTAAAAAAAACCAATTATTTATAAAAAAACCTCTTAAGAAAAAATCCACAGAGCTATGGAACATGAACAACAATTTTACAAAGAAAATGTGCTATTTGTTGAAAATTTGCCTTTAAGTAAACACATCAAATGAAAATTTAGAAGTCACAGAAAGACCATATATCCTAATCAGTATAGGTGAGCAGTGCCAGCGTATGTTTTTGCAGAGCTTATATTCTGTTTATACACTCACTCATTTAGACAACTGCTTTTAAATATCATGTCTCTTCACTAAACATTCATTAAACATGCTCTTTCATGTGATTTATAACACTTTGGTGTAACAAAACGTGCAATAGCTACAGGCAGAAGAAGGCTTTGCTTGCTTGTTTGCTTTTTCTTCTGAGAGCAATAAAACTTGTTTCTGATCCACAACAGCCAGGAAGAGCTAAACCCCGCTAAACTTCGAGATGAAGCAGAACTTGTGGAACCTTCCTTTTCAGAAAACTATGATTCTGTAGATGAGCTGCTGAGCCACCTCCCACTGGTATGCCCAGATTTTCTTTCCTTTTGCTATCTGTTACTTGACTTGACCCATAAAATGAGATTAATCATACATGAAGCATGGCCTATCAGAAGAGCAGAATCATCTAAGAAAGAGCCATGTTCACTGAAATGCTGTGTGTTTCTATAGGGATTGTGTCTGAATATAATAATCATTTTAATAACAATAATTAAGTTATCCCATGATTGCTGTTATTGAAAATTCCTAATTAAATGGCACTGTTAATAATGCACCTAACCCACTTGGGTGTTTCAACTTGTGTGCACTGCAGCATAAAACCAGAATTGACTCATTTTTAATTACAAAGATTATTATTTCCTCAGAGAAGAAACTCAAGAATATTTCTTTTCATTAAAAAAAAAAAGCTGCACATTTTGTTTAACATCTATTTCATTAGAAAGGAGTTGCCCCAAGAACTAAGAGGATCAGTGGCATGAACCCTAAACATTAAGAAAGCACTTGACTTCCATCTAAGGTGTGCTGCAGAGGGATTGTCTGGCATGCAAATATTGCAGTTACTGTTTTCCATTTAGCTACTACTATTTTCCTAAAATCATTCACAAATCTGTTTCTTTGGTTTACTGAAATGTAAACCCTTCTACATGACAGCACTTGCAGGGACATAAAATTGAAAGGGTAACGTAGAAGTGAATTGGGCTTGGTATGCTTGAAAGTGTATTATGAAATTGATGATAGGATGGTTTTTTGCATTCAGCTGTGTCTCAACAAGAAGTAAGAAAAAAGGCTACTCTTGAAGATAGCATTTGGGGGTGGGGGCAAAGGGAGGATAAAAGAAAAGACATTTCTCCAAACTGTTGTTTCCTTCCAAGACTGAAAGTGTTCTTTTCCTTTCCACAAATGCGGCAGTTCCTCTAAGTTCTCAAAGATTAGAAAGGACATAAACTGCTTGTGCCTTGGAGCAAAACAATTTGTAAGTGATGGGATTCAGGAAAGCAATGTTCTTTCTAGACAAGATTATTGCAGAAATACCTGCTCCTGGATTTTGCACCTTCTAAAACTTCTGGCATTGACGAAGTGAGAGAGAATTGTGGTGCAGCAGGTCACAGGTGTCTTCCTGGAAATATTTTCAGTCCTTTCCTTTTTTATGGACTGTACTGATGATCCAGATCTCCCTATAGGTGAATTGCTTACTCAGTATTGACTGTTACTGGTTGTTTTATCTCAGTGCCCAGTTGCTGGTGTAGTGTGTATCAAGCAAACCGAATTCATGTATTCATTTCAAGGATACAGCTGTTTTCAAAGTGAGCTGTTCTGCCCTGTAGGCCAATGTGCAGTAACGTTTTTGCCTAATTCTTTAACCTTTCTGTCTCATCCTACAGCCTTGTCTGCTGGCTGTAATGCCCACCAAGCTCCTGTGAATAACTCCATCTCATGCTTGTCAGTCCCAAGCACAGCAATTGTTTTGTATCAAGTGTTACTTCTTGCCTGCTGTCTGCTTTTATACACCTCATGATGCAACTGCTTACGAAAATTACTTTTAAAACATATTTTTCATTTGCTTTTCAGGACCTCTGAAGGACACCTGGTAAAGTCTATGGCAAGAACAAGCTATTTTTGAGTTCCACATAGTATTTCAAAGAGATGACTTTAGTCATCAAACCAGAACAAATATGTTGTGAAGTGAAAGTTGTGATATATTTGTTTCTTATGTAATAAAAGTTGATATTTACATTGTAAATATTACTCTAGAGTTCTCTACTGGAAGCTGTACATATGGATGCCAGTTTAACTCATGAGAAGTCTGTGAGTCCATATGCTGTAAATCCTTTACTTCAATAAATTCATTTGAAAATGAGTGTGCCTCTGAAAAGACCCCATCATTACTAATTAATTGGCTTATTTTAGGTGTGGTACAACTTCAGATAAGCCTGTATGATAATAGGGATACATTTTCAGATAGCTTCGTAAACAAGAGTAAAAACATGAGGAAAAGAATGTGCAAGGTGTGTAAAACTGCATTACAAAGATCTCTGAAAGTTACTGCCAAGCAAAAAGGAATGCTTTTCTAGCATCTTACCGAGCAACTAGAGAAAATGAAAAAGCATTAAAAATTATTTGACCTCTGACAGCATCTTTCCTTCCTGTTCACATTTTTAATACTTCACAGTATGCAAAGTATATTAAGACTAGAAGTGTATCCTTTATTTTCTGTTGTGTTTTAGATGCTCTGGAGCTGACAAAGCACGCAAAGAATGGTATCCCTTGATTCATTTCATGCCTAAGGTCACCAGTTATTCCACATTTAGTTGCCTGTAGCTTTGATGATGAAACTATTCTGTATACATAAAATAGATCTGAAGACACTTTACTATTTTTTCAGAATGAATGTAATTTAGAAAATACGCAGATAATAAATCATTTTATTATCATGGCAAGCTATTACTGGTTTGAATCAGTGTACCTGGAATGGTAGAGGTTCCAATAAGTGCTGTCTCTACTATAGGAATAAGGGAAGATAATATTTTTCAACTGAGGTATACTATGTTATCTTAGAAAGACAAGCAAGTAAGGCTCCAGTCCCCATTTCTTCAGCTTTATATCATTGTAGCTTAGTATGGAACTGCCAGTTTGCAACTGATTCACTGCTGCTGTGAATCAGAATCTGGTTGTATCTTATTAAAATTGTAGATTTAACCAATTGGATCATTCTCTAAAGGATTATTTAGTGTTGTAAGGACCGATAGTTCCTGCACTAAGGAAACTCTGTGGTACTGCGTGCACAACATGTGAAATGTATATTCATGCATGATACCAGCCATAACACTCCCATGACTCCCCTCCCACCTCCTAGAAAGAGATTAAATTTGAAGTAGAAAAACTTATCAGACCTACTTACGAGTTCAATTTGGAATTTCAAGTATATTTATACATTGTATATATGCACACATAGACAGGGATAAAGCTGATTTACAAGTTTCACTTACAAGTTTACTGTTCTCATTTAGAAGGAAGCTTCAAACATGATAAAATTTGAGATTTATGGAGACTAGTTCTCATAAATATGTAGCCTTCTGATTTGCAATTTTTTTGAATATTGGCAACTGCATGTCAAAAAAAACCCCAGCTTGCACAGATCAGATGCTATTATTGCTATTTCTATCTAGCTTTGACAGAATTTATTTTAGCTTAAGGAAATGAATGGTTCACAAAAGTTAGACATAATTTTGAAGTCTTCTCTTTGAAAGTGGTCTTCTAATGGTGGTCTACTCTCAATTCCTATCTTATTATGAAAATTGGAGTGCAAAAGTGACTTTGGAAATAGTTGAAGGACACTAACAGACTGATGCTATAGTACTTAATTGGAAGTTTTCTTCAGTGTAGTTTGAACTTTGTTAGGATTTCTGTGATAAGTAATCTTTAAAAAAAAGTGAAAAAAATTAACCAGAAGCAAAGCTGTGTATGGTCTTCATACACAGAACTTTTTGTTTAAATATGTCATGTTCATTCACTCAATTTAAAGTAACAAAAATTGGAGTGATCAAACTTTTGACCCCACAATTCCAGAAATCTTTTTTTTTTCCTAAATTTGACATTTTTATTTATTTCCAATTTACCAATAAGGCATCTGATGGAAGAGCTTGTCTTCCATGTCTAATGTTTAATCTCCCCAATATTTTGTTCTCTGTAGAAAACTGCAGAACCTTAGAACATGTATTTTCTCTGTTACAATCAAGATGGAGTGGGTTACAGAAAAAAGGGACGCTTATTAGGAAATCATATATATAATATGTATTATAAAATATTGTATATGTATATATACTTACGTGTATATATATGTGTGTTATAAAATACAAAATTAATACCCTCATTGTAATAACTAAAATAATACTGTGATAGCTTCCTCAGAGGGTTAGCAAATAGAGACAGTCTAAAAGGCAGGCTAAATTTGATTCTTTAGCAAAGCCTAGCACTGAAAGGATACTGACCTCCAGAATAATATACCTGACCTGATATTTGTGTTAAAGGATGGCTTTTAACTTGTCACAGCAACTTTTGACATTGTATAGGAGATATGATGCTCAATTAATACATTGAGACTGGTTAATTGTGGAAGATGTAACATTGTTCACCTCAGCTCCACGGGAAAGTGGTTATGGTAAGGTTAAATTATAAAATTGAAGAGAAAATGTCAACATTTCACTGAATGAGACAAATTTTCAGTCAGTCAATGAGTCTTGACACATGTCACCAATCTTACAACCCATCCGCAAAATGTCATAAGAGTGGAATCAAAGTGTTGCATTAATTAGGAGACTGAAAGGGGCAGCTCCAAAGACAGTGTCAAGGGGGCTGCTAGGAGGAAAACACATACCAGGGAGATTTAGAAGAGCATCACTGGCAGAGAGAATGTAACCACTCGGGAGGAAGGAATAAAACTGAAGGGTTATTGGGGTATATGCTAAAGAAACATCTCACCATGTTTCTCCAGAATTTCACTTCTAACACAGGGTAGGAATATCTGTGATCGTAGAGGATAGAACTCATTATATTTTGTTTTATTGAAAGGGGTTTGTTTTTCAGACCTACCCCGTGGGGATCTTAAAGGGCCAGAATCACCTTTACGTGCATCTTTACCAGCACTGCAAGGGGATATTTTCTGGTCCTGAATCCACAGGAAGGATTTACATGCTTGTGTGCATCCGTACAATCATCACCCACTCAAGAGGAACTCTCAGGATTGTGTATAAAACCATGAGAATTACAGAAGTTGATAAAACATTTTAAAATTACAGCCAGTAAAAACACATTAAGAATTAATAAAACCCTAGCAGTTCCTCTGTTATTTTAAATGGGTTTGAGGGGCTATGAGTATTTGTTCCACCTGAAAGTCTGAGACAAAATTTGTGTTTAAAAATACAAAAATCGGTAACTTGGATCCAAAGCATAGGTATAACTTCATGTATAGGAATATTGAATTCTCCCCAATGACAGACCTTTTGGGAAGACATGTATGTATACAGGAACTATTTATTTGCTTGCAAGGCATTAGGCAAAGGTAGATGGAAAAGGCTGCCCATTGCCTCTTGTGATACTACTTGTGCTTTCCACTACCTCTTTTATTTTTCCTTATTTTCTCTCTCCCTCCTCCACTTACCACAAGCTTCCCCTCTCTTTGTAATACTCTCACCTTTGGCTTGCAAAGCTAGTGTATGAACGTATGCCTGTGTTTTTGAGAGGAACAATTACAACAGACCTTAAATTTATGGTGCAGCAATCTAATAACTGCCAGCCTTGGTTATGGAGATGAGTATTGCGGAGAACCTGGCACAACCAGATTTGCAGGAGCAAACTGTCCTGCTCGCAAACAGCCCTTGACTTCCCACTGGAGATTTCCCATTTGGTTTGTGACTGGTGCAGAAGGCTGACCTTTCCTTGGATACATCAAACAGAACGTATGGCCTCCTGAGGCATGTGCTGGCTCAGGCAACTACAATATTTTCAGCTTTTCTCCTTTCTGCTTTGGAAAAGTCACAGACAAATCACTTGCCAGGTTGACAGGCTGGTTTAGGATTGGAAGTAGGAAGCTAGACACCGTTTTTTTACATCAGTCTTGAAAAGAGTCTGAAGAATAATTTGATGCATCTTCTGCTTCTGAAGTAGACAAACAAGAAAAGTTTTACTTTGGTTTTATACACAGATACATGCAGGCCACTTAGTAGGGAGGTGAAAAAACAGCTTTCCCTTGTGAGGGTAAGTATTTTCAGTAACTTAATTGATCAACATTTGTAAATAAAAATACGACTGATTATTCAAAGATTAAGCTGAAAGTGACATAAATCATCACGTTATAGTGAAAAAGATAATTCTCTTATTTAAATATCAACATAGTCAAGTGAGAACAATATTTTCAATAGAGGGAAAGAATGGGGGTTGTTTCAATAACGAGGAGAAAAAAGATCTTGTCCTTCCTCACTGAGTGAATTATTTAATACTAGAGTTTTGCATAGGATAATATATTTAAAGGAGTGTACATGAGGTTGGTGCATAAGGTCCTTTTTCTGGATCTTTTCTGGAACTGTCCTGGACATTTAGAAACCCTATCTCAATGAGACCACACCATCTAAGAGCCTAAGTTATTTCCAAACATGGGATATAAATGCTTTTAATATGTTGATCCTATTACTTAATAGTTGTCAAGTCAGAATTTGTTTTTATCCAACACATATCCTCTTTTTGGGATGGGGGGGGAAGCAGAAGAGAAGCCAAAACCACTCCCTGTCTCCTATTAGATGAGATGGATCAGTGAAGACCTTTCTACTTAGGAAATGTGCACAGAGCAGCAATTTTTGCCAGTAGCATGTGAAATAGCTGGGCTATTGACTGGGTAGGACAAAGAGAGAACGATCTCTAGTTTTGCTTGTAAGATTACCTGATAGTGTTTCCACTTGGCCAAATGGTAGGAGGTGTCAAGTTCTTGCATATCAGCCTTTTGATAGAGAAGAAATCATTTATATGGAGCCTGGTCGCTCCAAGTTGTTTGCTTATTTTATATACTATTGAACTGCTTTTTACTGGAAGTGGTCACAAGTATGTTTGACAGATGCCTTATCATCATTTGTTGCTATTCTAACACAGCTCTTCATCTTTGTCTTTCAGCCAATCCCTCTTCCCATAATCACAGCCAGAACATCTGCACACTGTTTTAAGCAAGCGATTTTGCCTCTTATTAGGGAGTACAGAAATCAGACTGCTGTATTCTAGGAAGACTCTTCACAACAAAGCTATGGGTGTATAATTTATGCAGAAAGACTGAATTTTGGTTAAAAAATAAGAAGAGTTTGAAAA